GTCAATTAATTAAAAACCACGAAGTTACATATATTATATTTACTATATTATATATTTTAAATTAAAAGTACAAACGATACAACTGTAAGTAACCAATAGTTTAATAATTTATAGTATAAATATCACATATTATGGAGTAAGTATACTACCAATTGTATCAGTGGTGTATTATGAAAACAAGCTGACATTTTAAAGTAATATTTTAGTAGCATTTTCGAAACGTTTAACCAAAGTATTAAAATGTAAAATATTAAATTATCAACAGGAGAATCTTTCCACAGCCATACACGATACATTTCTAAACTATATTATAGACGAGATTTTATGTTAAATCAAATAATATTAAATGCGCTGTCACAATAATACATATTGTACAGAAGCAGTTAATCTACGGTAACAAAATTAGAGAGGAAATTGATATCGGTTATGTAAATTATGAAATCGTATCCTGTTATATTATTATGTTTTATTTGTTTAGTTAATAGTTTGGGTAAGCCAAGGGCGTTTTGGCTCTTTATCTCCGTGATCGAGGAAACGTCAACTAGCAAACGGACAAACACAGACGGATGTGATCCTGCGCTCCACCACGACGACGGACCGACATAAATTACTCATTCAGACCATGTAATCTGTTGTTTCAAAATTATTGTTTGCTTTCAGTTATGATTTGATTAAAAGTAGTAGGAATATAATTATTACTATCAGCATTCTAGTTATTAATAAACAGCGACAAAGTTGTTCGAATTTTTACACAATCTTCATCGACTCGTTCACTACAATCATTATGATCATTGGTTTTTGTTGTTCGCAGAACTTAACGCAAAATACAGTTTACATAGAAAACAATCCATCATGACTTAAATATTTTACAGCAGATATTATACTGTAACTAATAATTACCCTAACCTAACCCGAGTATTTGTGTCTGTGTACCTAATAGCTACCTATGTACAATAATATATTTTATACAAGTCCAAACGAAAATCAAATATTGATCATATTCGTATATATTATAGTTGGTATTATAATAATAGTACCTATACTTGCTATAATTAAAAAGCTAATAGTTATTGTTCGGATTTGAATATATATTAATAATATTTTATAGTTTTGTACAGCCAAAGTGTATTACGTCAAAACATGTAATTCAATTAGGTACCCTTTTAGACATAAATATATTAAATGTATTGCTCCCCGCAGACTCAAAAGAATGTGGAATCTTGATTTATTATTAAATATATGAGTATTTTATTTTTAAATATCAATGCTAAACATATAAGTACATAATTCTGAGGGGTATTACTATTGGGTAACTCTTCTTAACACAATATTTATGTTATTTTTGTAATTTTTTATTATTTTATTACCACAATAACTTATTAAGAACATTTATTTATTGTTCAAACTGTTTTTTTTTAATAAAAAAAAAATTAATATATTTAGTAAAAATGTTATTTAAATTATTGCAATACATGTTATTAGTTTCTTAAAAATTAATTACGGAGGCAATTGATAGTAGTGGATAACAATAAATGTGCAGCGTTTTAAAATCAAAAGGTATAATCAGAAGTGATATCGGATTCGGTCATTAAGCTGACTTTTACGTAAAGAACGATCTTTATACGGCTGTCCATGATATCGGAGTACATATTTTCAGAATCACTAGGAGGAAAAAGTAGTATAATTTATATTCAATTCTATCAGTGGAAAACCAAGTACCTATGAATATTATTAATTTGCTTTATTTGAGCTAGACGGGTTTTTTCTAGCGTACTATTACTATAATTTATAGTGTGTACATTAATAATTGTAACTTTGGTATTCACAACCTCAAATGTATTTTTACAAAAATTAAATATAGGTAATAACTGTTTTAGTCGTTTAAGTCACAGCACACAATCAACCTTTATACAATAATCTACAAAACACGCTTTACGGATCATCGCATGTTGTCATTACACGGATATCAATAATAAAAATTACATTTAAAAATATTATTAATACTCCCATAAGATTTCTGGCTTACCAGTTAACAAAATGTTATTTTACAATAAGTTGAGAAATGCATTTGTTTAGCTGTATAAGTGACAAAATTGTCTGAATGTGAAGACAAAATAGATTATTGTGAGGTTAGGTTAGGTTATAATAATTAAGCACTGCTCATTTTATTACAAATCATTTTTAACGAACTTATCATTTGTCCAAATTAATTTAGCAAGCCTAAAAATACCTATGTGATTACATTAAAATCTGATCCCTTGGGATAAATTTTTTGTGGATCATGTGACAACAATTTTACATTTTGAATTCAATCCCAACCCCGGTAATTCAGTAATTGTTTAAATATTAAATATTTAGTTTATGAAAAATAGGTCTTTAAATGGTTAGAAGAACATTAATGGGTGGGATATTTAGTCCATGTACAAGCTGTTTATAAAAATTAATTCAGATATACAAAGATATTTGAAGTCAACTTGGGTTATACTTTTGCATTACATTCAGTAAAATGGTCTTCGACTTAAATAATGATAGGTACTCAAATCCCTATTTTTGCTGATATCAAACACCCAGAACTAAATTTTTGATAAACATCTCACCCTACCTCACTTAAAAGTCAAACGTCAAACACTTCAAACACTTAAACCATGACTTCATCTACTTGAGGCTTTACAAACTATCTCTTAAATAATAAAGAGTACATTATACACTGTTATTTTAAGACCCATTTGGTACCTTTTATTGCACTATAATATAAATAATTAATGTATTATGTACAGATTGTAAATTTAATGAGTTATAATAATAATAATACAAAAATACATATAATTAAATTTATTGCAGAATGTATTGTATTGTGAAATTTGACTCATCCAAAACAATCGTTGTTAACGAGTGTAAGAAGAGGAAATTTAATGACACTTTTCAAGAGTTACATATAGCATTAGACGGAGCTCTCCTTGTGGCTGAACAAACTGGACTTTGATATATCATGAGTGACGACTAAGACAATTAATAATCGCTACGATGTTACCATTTTAATTTTAATATCAGTTTAATTTATATTTAATAAGATAGTTCTCTATATTGTATTTTAAGTTTACTATAAGAACATGTATGAATATATATATACTTATTTAAAATATGAATTCGATGTGAAATTATCAAAATATTTTCGTGATGAATAATAAATATTGACTAATGTATTGGCACAAGATAAACAAACTAAAATCATAGTTAAGATTTTAATTAAAACGCAGTGCATCTATAAGCTTTCTATGCTGTCTAATAGTCCTATAACAGTATCGTAGCCATGATTTCACAATGGGAGGGAAAAAACAAACCCAAAATTAGGTACATGTTTGTCTGTTGAAGTTAGCTTCCTTTATAATGCTCTTAAAAATATAATCATCAAAATCTACCCCTCAAAAGGTACAGCAGTATTCAAAACTCGTCGATCCAAAACTCCACTCACTCTAGAACTCAATGGTAATAATATGTTGTCCTAGATAAAAAATTAACTTGGAACCCGTAAATTTCTTCAAAACAACAAAAAGTATACTATCGACTAAAAATACTTAACCAACTCTGTAACAGACCTATTATCGACAAACCACCTTAAATTGGAAATACTACGGACTTTATTAGTACTCTAGGCAGGCTCCATTTTGAGCAACCCCGCCAAAACTCATATACACAAAATTAAAGTTTTCTAATCCAAAATATATATTAAAAACAATTAAAAATGCACCCTAATTTGTTAGAAACGAATCCCTTCGTACAGACTCCAAACTTCCTACTGTCAAGACTTATATAAAAGATCTTTCAATCAACGCTACAACATGCGAGCAGTGCACAGTATTTGAGTCTAAGTGACAAAGCCTGTATACGGAATTAAATAAAATCAATAATAATCATTTGTATCAATAAATTATTTGCTGTGTCACTATTAAATATACCCAATATTGTTGAATAATATGTTGTAACGTGGCCGGAGGAACAACCAGTTAAATATAAGATATCAAACGAGAGTGGTACGACTCTATAGATATAATTACCATAGCCAGGGGTAGATATATAGATATCAGAATCTTAAATATATTTAAATAACTAGGATTGTATTTGAGTTATTATCAAGTTTTATTGTCTTACAAATAATAATACACACAAAATATGTAATTTACGTTCTATAGTGGCTATGTGTGACTTTATCGTAGTCCAACGGAGTTCGGTACCCGTAGTGTGATGTAATCTTAGATGCACAGTGAACTAACTTAGCTTATACATGGTGTGTGTTAGCCGTCAAATGTGTGTTAATGCGGTTATTGTATCGGTCAGTAGTCGATTGTAAATAATGTAGAGTTTATATTAGATATACATAGGTGTCGTCTAACATAATATATGAATATGTATAGTTTCTACTGACGTATATTATTACTATACACATAGTAAAAATCATTTTCTAATCTAAATGATTGTGTCGAATACTTACTTACATTAATAACTTCACTCTTAAGATTTTTTAACTAAAAAAAAAATTGCATTAGTGAAAAATGGTTACAAAAATAATGTAAAAATGTTTAACATGTCTCTATAAAGACATAAAGCATATTTATTTCGATATTTTTTAGAATGTCTACAAAACGATGACGTATATAATTTTGTATGAGTAAGTTTAATAAGTTTTTTTTTTGGTGTAAGTGATAGAGACTAATATAACGGACCAATTAGTGAAGCGAAATGTATTATTCATGGTATACCATACTAACTGTAACAATGATTAACATAAAAGAAGCAAATGTGTTTCGTGGAACTTAATGTGCATCGAGCACGCACTTATAGACTCCTTACAACAGCAATTGGAAAAAAATTGAATAAAAATATGTAACACAAGTGTGCAGATTATCATAGGTAATAATAATAATAATAATAATAATAATAATAATAATAATAAATTACTAATCAAATGGGTATAAATGAGACTGCCAAAAAATGTAAACGCAGTTGTAGTTTAATAGCCACGGATTATTTTATGCGATGTTAAAATAAAAAATAATTCACATAATTTTGCATAAAATTATTACTATTCGCGTACCAGGAGCTTGAAAGGTTAGTTATGCGTATCTTTTTCTTAATGTTATTCAAACTAAAAATTACTAACGTCGATGCATATTGTAGAATATTACATTTTCCAGTGAAAGCAGTTTCACGGAGTTAATGTTGTTTATAAAACGTTATTAAATATCTATTTAAATGCAAAACTGAACTGTCTTTTAGTTTAACGTTCGTAAAATAAACATGATTTTATGATAATTAATAACCGTTTCACTATGTTAAGAGAAAACAATTTAAACACTTGTTGGGGAAATTGCAGTGGAATTAATATTTAACGTATGAAAAATATTAATCCCGATTTTGTAATCAGAATAATATAGTACTACGCCACTAGTTATACGAATATATACAATTGCAGAAACTTTCAATCTTTAAACAATAAAATAAAATATTCAAGGTTTGTTACACTGATTTCGAGTAAACAACTATGTTTCATATACAGATGTCACTATCATAAGGTTTTAGATTCATACGTTTTGTGTCGAAAAGAAGTTTGAGATTTCTCGTTGGTTTTAAGACGGTGTATCTATAACATGATTATTATATAAGGTATTATTATAAACGTTAACTACCTGTTTAAATAATCAAAGCTTCATACATTTAACAGAAATCGGTACTAAACTACTAAATTCAATAATCTGTGACTCATATGAGCAATTTCAATATTTTTATTTTGTTTACAACTTACACGATTTTTACTTTAGGTTTTTAGCTTATAATATTTTAATGATTACTCGCAAGTTTAATAAACCAATTTGCTTTTATTTTACATTGATTCGGAAAATATTGACTCATTTTTCGAATCAATCGGTTAAAGTCGGGGTTTCAACCATATAGGCTTACACAAAATTTGCAAATTCACGTTAAGCTGGACCAATTTTTTGCTGTAAGCTATTTCATATTAGAGTTCATGGATCTATTATCATTTATAATCCGCGTTATCTGTGTTTAAACTTTGGCTTATTTTACATTATTTCAATTTTTATGTGATACAATGATCATTTTTAAACTGTAATATTCTACACAGGTACTCAAAACTTGCATAAAAATTGAAATATTGCAAAAAAAAACTTAGTTATTACTCAATTCACCGTAATAATAATTAACTATACAACATTAGTTCTGCTGAGCACAAATTGCCTTCGTTGCTCGTGGTTCAGAGGATGAAAACAAAATAAAGTGCGCAGATATCCAATCAATCAATCTTATTATACATTTTTAATTATTATTCACAAATATTTAACAGATAACCACAATATTTTTAAAGTTTATAGCAGCTGTTTTTGCAGATTATTAGAGTTTTTATTGATGTCGACAAAAAAATTCTTATTCGTTCAAAAAATAATTATTATGTGACAGTATAAATTATTTTATTTGTTGTATTATTACATTATCTTGGGGGAGCTGAATCAGTTAGGGTTGGCCTCCTCCTAAATTTAATTTGTGGACTCTGGGTAAAGTGTTTATATAGTTGACGTATATTGTATATACTACATATACGCTATATATATATGTATACCAATCGTTATACCATATGCAAACCGCCATGGTTATTACTGTAAGTTTGAACATTAAAAGTAATTTTTTTTCTCACAGTTATTCGTAAACATGAGTCTGTCAAGTACTCTGCTTCTCTTGGTATCCAACGCATGTTTTTTATCGGCTTCCAGTGACTCAGACGTCAAATACTTCACTAATGAATGGTTTGTGCACGTACCTCTGGGTGATGTTGTGGCTAGAGAAGTGGCGCGAGATGTCGGCATGACATACGACGGACCGGTAACGTAGATATTTAAACAGACCACCAATGAGTATATTATTATTTACGTATTAAATACTTTGAAGACAGTGTACCTAATGACTATTTTATCATTTCTCAAATGCTTAAATTAAAACTCAAATGTTTCAGCTGCAACAATATTATTGGTAGTATTAAGTAGCTCGTTGAGTTCAGCTCAGTATGAATTTCAGGTACCGAAAACCATCAGTGCAACAGTAGACAAATAAAATTAGTTGTTAGTTAGTCAATGAAATCGATAACATAAAAACAGCACAATATCTATATCAAAACAAAATTATTACGAAAAAATGTAATTTCGTCAAATTATTTAACGATGATTAAATTTAATTTTGGAACAAAAGATTCCATTATTAAATGTTATACAATTATAATATCCATTAAACATAGATATTACGAAATTTATTTTTTAGTTCTGGAGGGAGGATGCCCTAGTAAGTTCTTCCAATCTTCGTTTATAAGCGTAATTTTTCTGTAATCTTGTGTTCTCGCAAAAATGAAAATTTGTCTTTGAAAAGGCAATACAGTCTTACGCATCACACTGCAGGACGCACGCCTACAGGGGGTTCTCATAAATCACGAGTTAGGAATGGTCGAATCACATAACTCTTAGAACCATAGAATGCGAATACTGCACTCGAATGAGCTGTACTCGTATACATAAATCTATTTGAATTTATAAAAGTGTGAATTGTTTGTGACAATGGATAACATTGGCTAACCTAACTACCTTGAACACAGAAAAGGCGTAATTTTTTCTTTTCAAAAACATCCAAATCCAAACCAGCGTCAATGGAATTTAAGTTTTCAATAGTACTGCGAATTATGTTACTGTTCAAATTATAATTATTTTTGGCAATCGAAGAACTCTCCTTATAGTATTATTTAGCTATACCTAAATATGATTGTATGCGTATATTATGTTGTTTTTATTAAATCAAATTAAATTAAATCTTCTAGTTCCTCACTCGTATTATTAAATACCTACTAGTTACTACTAAATTTAAAATATCAGTCGATATGTTCTATAGCTTATATATTTATATTTTAAACGTGTTGACCTCATTTTAGTAAAGTAAATTAAGTAATAATATGAAATTTCATGTGTAAAATTATATCAGGTGTTAGATAATGGGTGTCAAATTATTTCATTTGTCACTCATGAATTACTTATTTAGAAACTAGAAAGTTGGCATACTCATAGACGTGCTTTTCCTTACTTGTTAGTTGTTTGTTTTAATATTTAGCCTGATAAATAATCATTATTAATGGCTTTGCAAAAAATAATAAATGGTTTTCCATCATATCACGGTCTTCATACTATATTTTAAATACACTGCCTATAATAATTGTCAGTCGATTAGTTATAATATTTAATTATTTCTGAAATGGTTTAAAATGTTCTGCAGGTTTGTGGAGTTTTTTTTAAACTTTAGAAAACTAACATATTTAAATATTTTTGTGTTATATTATTCACTAGTAGGTATTATTAAGATATAAGAACTCAACATTTTCATTTCGATAAGTTCATGAATTTAAAATTTGTTTTATACACTTAATTTTCCTTATTAATCCGACGATAGGAGAGGAGCTGTTTAACCATTACTACTTCGCTTGTTGTACATGGGTTATCACTTATAATTTTTAAATATGTTATATTAACAATAGGATATCTTAAGAGAATTACATTTTGTAGATAATATGCACCAAGTTGTAATTGAGGCGTATTGGAGATGTTCAAAATAGTAATTATTTGAGAAGAATTTTTTTCTGAAGATTTATTCTTATAGAGACTGGAAGATAACAAGTACACTTTTTCAATAGTTTACTTGACCGACAGCCCAGGTCACAGAGAGCCTTGTCGGTTATCTTATTCGCTCGTTTCACAATTAAAATTGTCAATAATGAGAGACAAAATAAAGATTACACCAAACGTATAGAAAGATTTCTATTATTATTATTAATTGTATCAGCAGTGAAGTGTCTTTTAAGTGAACGCATGTGTTACTGCAGTTGCCATTGAGGGTGAACTTTAAGGGTTCTCAAGTTTTAAGGGCGTCTAAGACTTTTCCTCTTCTTTTTGTTTTTGTTTATAAATACATTTATATAGAAAACTCGTGCACTGCAATTTTATAAATAACAAATCCTTAATAATAATATGGTAAAATTATACAAACTATAATTCAAGCGATTTAATAAATAATATCGACTAAATTTAATATTACTTAAAGGTGACATATAACTAATAGTTAGTGTACTATAAATAAAATATAACTTTTTCAAAAGAGTAGAAAACTATTAAAACAGAAGTATGATGGAGGTGATCATTTAGCCACATGGGTAGCAAATTTTAATATTTAAACGTTTTGATGCCTTTCAGGCAAACATAAACACCAAAACTATTTTATGTACTTAGTTACCTGCCATTTATAGTCAATGTAATGTTATCTATTAAATCATCACAAAAGATGGACACTGTAACGTCAATTAAAAAAAATATGGGTATGGATATTACTGATAATGTATTTACATGGCACCTAATAGTTAATATTTGTATACATAAAATAGTTAGTTTATGTAGATAGGTAGTTGCTTTTAGTAATCAAATAACAAGCATGAGTTAAATCATATTACCATATTATAACTGAGTGATTATTATAAAATATAGTTTTAAAGAAGTTATTAGATAAATATTAGGTTAGTTCTATGTTTCATGAATGTTTAAAGAAAAGCTAAAGAAAAATTCGAGTTTTCAATATTTTGGGATATGTTATTAGTTATATCGAAACTATATTTTATTTTAATGCTGAATAGTTCCTAATAAATCCAATGAAATATTTAAGTATACATACTTTTTATGAAGTATACATTTAGGGTGTAAATAAACAATGGGAAACTCTACATTTAGTTTCACAGAATTAAATTCAATATAAATAAAATTATATTCATAACAGATCAATAGTAATACAGTCGATTAAATGTTTATCACAGCATTTTAAATGAAGATAATTGAAATAGCTTTATAATCATTACCTTTAATAAAACAAATACGAAAAGTTCAAAGGTGCATAAAGCACATTTTGTTATGTGTATTAAAATTAATAGTTATTTTGTTCCGTTGTATTGACTTGTTTTAGATAGAAAATATTTTTTTAAAAGACAGAATTAGTTACGGCAAAACAATTATTCACGTATATTTTGGATGGTTATGTGTTTTGCCGTGTCATCCAAAGTATAACGACAATCGTTCGAGTCCCGAGTTCAATAGTTCATGATTATACATATTACATGGCGCCCCGTGTAGGTCAGAAGCATGTCAAAAAGTATTTTATAAAATGATGACCACACTTAAAATAAATTTATACACGTGGAAAATATTCCATTTTTGAGTTCCATGTTAGTCGTTTATTACACTTTATATTTCATCGCGTACAGTGTGGATAAAATCCATGTCATGCAAATAATAATAATCAAATTTGACATCGTAATAATCTTCAAGCCAATTAGTTATAGAAATGTTGTATCTCACTAATTATAAGTTTGTTGTAATTCAGTTTGTACGAAATCTGGTCAGAGAAAATAAAAGTGTGTTGGGGGTCGAGTACAAAAAATAAATACACTCAGGCTCAATAGTATGCGATAATATTATTTTAAATCGAATTTAAAGTTTAGTGCGGGGTGAGTATAGATTATGCAATTTATTGCGTATAAGTAAAAAAAACAAATTATGTGAGTAACTAGGATTTTATAGTCATAGGGGATAGAGTCCTGGAAAATAAAAGTTTATATTATGTCATAGATTAAAAAAAGGCTATTTCATCATTAAAAAATATTTCTAAAAAATCAAATATAGACAGTAAAATAAGAATATATCATTTTTTATTCTACGCAGTAGGCACATTTAATATTTTATAACTTTGCATATGCCTGTATTCAGAAGTGAATACTTTTAAAATATCATTAATCTTATTCTCTTTCTATGATCAGTATAATAGTTAGATTACTGATTATCTTACTATCATTTTTCGAAAGACTTGGCTTATGTTCCAAGGGGGACTACAAAACGTCTATTGCGGGATAGTCTTAGCCTCTAGCCTCTCCTTTGCATATTTATCACGATGAAAAAGACATGTAAGTAGTATTATGATAAAGCGAGTTTATAGTAAAAACAGTATCTAGCTGTAGAAAGCTACACTGACTACGAATAGTAGTAACATTAATAATTAAAACAAACAATCGATTTACAAAACAATTGTTCGGCGATGGTATTATTACAATGGATTCAAAAGTCTTCGCGTACAAAATAATAGCCGATGTCCAATGACTAGAAATTCGAGGAGAATAAAAAATTAAAGTTACCTATACACAATTTTGAAAAATGTATACTTCATCCACCTAAAATACTTCTTATTAATCTCCACCAAATGTCTAAACAAATATAATATCGTTGACTCTAAATATTTATAATATTATAAACTTCATAAAATTATCACAATTGAGTCTTACAAATAAATTAGTTAATATACGGTTGGATTCGGAATGCTAATATTTAAACTCCCTCACACCCCCTTCCAAGCTTATAAATCCCGATAATTTTGTATCGGACTCTTATGAAACAACTAATTATTCATTTTGAACTTTGTTTATTCATAATAACAGTCGTTTTGTTTTCTTTAAAAACATTTTCAATTTTTTCGTACCATCCTGCTGTCTGCAAAGCATCTCTTAGAAACTGAAACAATTTTCTCAATAAAAATAAAGTACGAGACGTGACCCAAAATTGGTCGGGCCTCGACTACTTTATCACGACACGAATAGTTTTATATTAGTCGAATAAACATGTTAACCCTATATCTAGGCCTGTATAGACGGAGGCCGTATATAATAATATTAATTATTTATAATAATAATGATGGGGGATGACTGCGGTATATTATAATATTAAGTGGTATAAAACACGCACGTGACGGTCGATGAGCGC